TTTTTCCACTTATTTACAACATTAAATTGAAAATTTGTTCCCCTGGGGGAATTTTTTTTTTTTACCACTCCTCCAAACCAAATAAAATAGCACACGAGAATGTAGAAAACCTATTAAAATCTCATAGTGAAAGCAAAAAGAGAGGACGCTGTTCCGAGACCATCATCAGCACAACTGACCCAAGGCAAAAAATAAAAACACACCAGGAAAGCGAGGCCTTTCCCATAAATACTGCACCGACCTAGAAAGGAGACTCATCTCTGGTTTCCAAAGGGAGGCTTCTGCCCCAAGCCGGCGTCTGCTGGGAGTTTTATTTTACTCTGGGAATTATTTTCTGCGCAGGTAAAACGGAGAGGGAGCTGATCCGCAATTAACGGAGCTGGGCAGGGTTTAAGTGCATTTTCCGAGAAATCCTGGTATTTGGAGATGAGCTCCACTTCTTAGAGTTTCTTGTTCACGTCTGTGTCCTCGTGAGAGCCAAGCCAATTCCCACAAGCCAGGTAAGCCCTTCGCCGGTGCACCCCTCCCTCTGCCTCTCAAATGCCTGCGGTCCCCGTGTCTCTCCATGGCATCCTTCCCTCCCCGTCACCGCCCTGAGCATCTCCCAGGGGCGCATTATTTAGTGCCCGTGTAATTAAGCGCTTAATTACACGTGGACTTGGACTGTCCTTTCATGCCGTCACGTGTAACTTTTCCCCCTGGTTATCCCACATTTGGACCTTCTGGAACATCAAAGCACTTCCACCTCTGTGGAATGCTGAATATGGGTTCAGCAAATATTTATGGGTTTGCTATTTATTCAAAAACAAACAGCCTCTTTAATGAGTAAGAGACTTGCGAGGTTCCCCGCCTCTGGGGTGGGGGTCAGACCCAGGCTCCAGCCCCGGCTCCATCACTTCCCACCTTATAACGTGGAGCGAGGTCCTTCCCTCCTCCGAGCACGCTGGCTCATCTCAAAGATGAGGATAAGCATAGTCCTTTGTAGTATCGAGGGGTCAGTGAAATAATGAATGTAAAGTACTTGCTACAAATAAAGGTCCAGTCTTGTGAACAGTAAGTACATAGTAGGTACTCAAGAAATGGTAGCTACTGTTCTTGAAACTATTCGTCATGGCGAACTGGTGCCTGGACTGCTGGGCAGGGAGGGGGTCTTGCAGGTCCCGTAGGAGGGGTGTCGCCACCGGCGGGGACTGCTCTGACGGGCCTTTGTATTTCTTGCAGTCTTTTTATGCTGGAATAAGATGTCTGATGTCCTCTCTTTGGCTCCTTAACTCAATTTCTAGTGACTAACACAGGTACTTATGTCCCACAAGTTTATCGGGTATTCAAAAGAGGTGACCACTTTGATAGTCAAACCACAGTAACGTGAGGATGTCGGGATTGGGGGTGCTGGGTGGAGGGTGTGTAGGAAACTGTGTGACTCTAGCAACTTTTTTTTTTTTTTTTTTTGAGTTTGGCTCTGTGAATGGAAACAATAAGGCCACATACTAAACTTGACAAACTCCGGGGAGGCCAGCACGGCGGCTCCACAAACTCAGAGCCCAGAAGCAAACACACAGGATGGTCTGCACATCAAAAGTTCGAACTAAAAGCGGGTCATGGCGGGAGGTCACGTCCTTGGCCTGTAGCTTTCTGGACCTTAAGTGAGCCTGTTCATTGTCTTTTTGCACCTAAGGTAACATACGCCTGGAATAATCCCTTTTTTTCCAGATCCCTCTGGGTGCAATACACAGCACTAGAGCACGAGACCGCAGAACCCCTCGCTGTCATCTTGTGCCCTGCAGACCACGTCTGCGTGCTGCAAATACTGACCCCCCTGAATCCACCAATGTAAGAGGAGGATGTGTCTCTCCCTCCGTTTCACTTTGATCCCATCCCAGAGATTTCCCCGCTTTGCTTTCTCCCTCCCGCTTCATCCACCACCAGTGGGCGTCCTGGAACCCTCCTCACGTCTCCTCCTTTGATTCTAATGTATAAAATAAACTGCAAAACTGCCACTCTCTGCAGCATTTCCTAATCCACTGAGATTTTGCTTCCTGGCGATTGTCGTCAGTTTGGCTCAAAGAAACTCATTAAAGTTCTCTACAGGTTTGGACATTTCTTACGTGGATGGATCATAAGCGCTACTCGTTCTGGTTTACTGTTTATACTTATCTCCCATTGAAGCCAGGCTAATTCCGATTCACGACGATCTAAAAGTACTCCACAATAAAAGTTTTAGAGACATGATCACCTATTAGTTATTCCGCTGAGTTTGGTTTTCTACACTTAGGATTGGCTTCCCTTCACACAAATAGCAACAGTACTGTAAAAACAGAGTTGCTGTGCACAGGATATTTGTGTCTCCTTCCCCCCAGTTCCAATGTCGAAGCCCTAACTGCTAAGGCGGTGGCATTTGGAGATGGGGTCTCGGGGAGGGGTGATTAGGTGACAAGAGTGCAGGCTTCACGACAGGATGAGTGTCCTCACAGGAGGGGCACCCGAGAGCCGGCTTCCTCTCTCCCCCGACTCCCTCCCTGTTTCCCAACCTCTGCCCTGCGAGGACACAGCTAGACACCAGGAACAAAGTTCTCTCCAGAACCGAACCGGTGGCACCTTGATCTTGGACTTCTCAGCCTCTAGAACTGTGAGAAATAAAGGTTTGTTGCCGAAGTCGCCCAGTCTATGGGATTTGTTATCGCAGCCTGAACTAACGTAAGATTCCAATTCTTACTGATAGTATCATTAAAATATCTTATCTCTATGTCTATCAATGAAGTATCTAACCATTAAATTTGCCATCCGTGTGACTTTGGATAAGTTACTTGAATTCTTTGTGCCTCGGTTTCTTTATTTATAAGGTAAGGACAATAAAGTAAATTTCCACATAGGTTTAAATAAGTTGACTATGTAAAGTACTAACGAAGAGTCCCTTTTGTGGGAAGGGCTCGGAGTGTGAGCTGCTGTTGCTGCTATTATTATTAAACTATTGCTGAATTTATAGTCCTAGGGCAGCGCTATATCTATGCAAAAAATTTTACACTAATTCTCAAGAGACTTGACCTAGATCGTTGTCATAAGTTATAGTGAGTAGCTTTCACGTGTGAAAAATCTATCTATCTCAGTGAAGGTCCCTGTCTCCTAAGATGACCCTACAATTGTGAATCAAGTTTGACTCTTAGCAATGGTGCAGCCATTAGCATATAAGCCCTAGGAAAACACTCTTTGTCTTTGCACGATGGGACCTGACCTTTCTTTTCTATCTGTGTACTATGTGCCACCCTGACCAGAGCATCTGTGCCCGTCTGTGCAGTTTCACATCTGCAAGCCTCTTGAGGCCCATAGAAGAGACTGGTGAACTCAAGCAGCACCATATGGCGGCTGCTTTTATCCCGGGAGAAGGCATGGGCCAGGTCCAGCATGTGTTTTGCTGTGTTCAGAAGCAAAATGAATGAGAGCTGAGCGTTTAAAAACTGCCCCGCATTCTTGCCCGATGGGAGCTGGAAACCTCACAATTAAGCTTGGACTCTTCACCTGCGTGTCCCCAATACATGACGCTGACAAGGCAGAAGCCTCAGTGAAAGAGAGAGAGAGAAACAAGTGTGAGGTCGTGGCAGTGCAGACCCGCTCGTGACCGCCATACGTGTCCATGATGCGGATTTTATTTACAACTCGATCTGGACCGTTAGCTGTATCTGATTTCTTTCACAAGGTTGTTTCGTTTGGTTTGTTTCACATCCAGAGGCTCAGTGTTGGCTCTCGTAGCAACACCTCAAAAGCCTTTGATTTTCCCTGGTTTCTCACCCGAGAGGACAGCGCTGGATAGAAAATTTGCTTATTTTGCAAAGAAAAAAATACGAGGATATTTTCAAAAGCAAGCGTTCTCTGGAACTCCTCTCGTACCTCTACCCCCCCAGATAGACCCTTTCGATATATATTTTTTTATAATATCTTTTGTTATCTACAAATAAATGACATTAAAGTTAGTCTTTCCAGTTTTGTGACAGCTTAACATTCCTAAATACAAATGAAAACAATACCTTTGCGGTTCAAATGGAATGTGAACGCCCTTAGCAAAGGAAAGAGAAGGCCTGGTCGTACGGGAGGGAGCCCCAAGAGCCAGGACACCAGGCTGAAAACTGAGAGCCAAACCGTAAATCAGCACGGAGTGGGGTGTGGTGGAGACGCCAAGGATTTGCGGCTCCGGGATGGGTCCTGGGCCAGCAACGCTCCGTGATAACCGGATCGAGTGCGTCGATATACCTAAGGTGGATTCGGTGGGCAAACCAAAGGAAAAGCCATGCTATGGCAGGGCCCACCCAGACACAGTCCTAAGGAGGTGGTGTCTCGGCTCAGGGACAGGGAATTCTGGCTCATGGTCGGGCTGTTTGCAGGAGGTGTGATCATATGACAGCTCAGGGTTTGGAGTCAAAGGCCTTGGTTCCAATCCTGGCTCTTCACTTACTCTGTGACATTGCTGGTTTCTGATCTCTCTGTGCCTCGGCTTCCTGTCCTGGGAAATGAGGCTCATAATTGGATAGTCACGAAGACTAAATTAGTCTACATGGAGTTCTTTGCACCGGGCTAACATAGAAGGAGAATAAACACCCAATGGCGGTTTGCTGCTGCTGTTGTCATTATAGGGGACTTATCAGGTCATCACAGCCTGATGCCATCGAACACCTGGGTCATCCATCACCTCCCCTTGCCCTAGTTTCGCTCTCACCAGCAGCATCTTGCTTAATTAGCTTCTCCGTCCCTGTCACCAGGGGATAACACACTGGCCATGCTGTCAGCGTACCTTGGTCCACACGCAGCTATGACTTGGTGTGACACCGAGCATTTGCAAATTTGGTGGACAGAGTGGTCTCCTGGGAGATGTGCTAACGACAGTCAGTGGCTCTGAGTCTGACCAGCTCCGAGGCAATGACAGGCCCGGGTTTCTGCGCCCTATGACCTGACCTTCATCCGAATGCCCCCCGGGAAGCTGCGTGCCTCATACCTCCACAAGCCTGCCTTACCTGTGACATGGAGCTTTTCGTCGGTGACCTCAGCCTTCAGGTAGATCCGCCCCCTCTTCTCTGTGTGGTCCATCCCACAGAGGCTAGGGACGTTTATCACACACTGCTTGTGCACATTCATGTCGCAGGCTGCGAAATCGAGAGAGCAGAGTGAGGCTGGGCATATGGACTCAAACCATCACTTCCTCAGTGTTTTGGTCATAGGAGCACAAGTGAAAATGAGCTACCCTCTAACTTGATACTTTGCTGTAATGTTTTTGGTGACATAAAGAACTGTTAGCAGATGTCCCTTACAGCACAGGCTTCTCGTGAGTGACAGTATCCTTAAAATACCCGTGCCATATTTGTCCAGTCTTAACTGAAGCAGAATACCTGCCTGATCTGTGAGTACTTCGAGTATTTAACGATATACAAAATACACATAGGTAAATGTAGACAAAGCGCAGACAAATTAATATTTTATGTAGCAGAGACAGATAAGAGGCAAATTTTAAACAGAGGATACTTTCTGCCAAAGAATTCCTCATGCCTTCCTAGCTCACCACTCAGGAAGAGTGAGACTCTGTGGGTTGAGTATGGGAAATTCGTAAAGTTTTCCTTTCCTGAGCTAGCTCTGTATTTTCAAAAAGGCTTAAATACATTGGCTTTTTTTTTTTTTTTTTTAAGAACTTGTGTTTGATATTTTAAACCTGTCTTCAAATATTTAAATATTATTCCAAGTAAAACAAATACATGCCTGGCATGATAAGCCATTCCTTACCAGCTGACATTACGTGGGCGAGACAGGGAGAGGATAAGAAAAAAGAAGTCTTTGCAATGAACCAAAGGAACCCTGGAAAGAATCCTGTGTGCTGCACACAAACAGGAGACTCTGTGTAGCTGCTGCAGTTCTACGGTCCTGTGTCTTCAGGCTTCCAGAGGAGGTGGCCACGGGAAGCCTCGCAAATCCTCGATGGGATGCTACAGGGCTCCTCTGTAACCATCCAGGTGGAGCCTTCGTGCCATTTTGAGTGTTTAATTTTAACACAGTAAGATAGATTGCACAAGGCATCGTGAAGACTGCATATCTGCTATGATTCAACACATTGTGTCCACAGGACGATGGACACAATGAGGAAAAAGCAATCAGTTGATTCTGTTTAGGCTTTTATTTCCAAAGTGAACTGTTCGAAATCATGTATGTCGACTTAAGGAAGATGCAGACTCTTGAAATATCTTTAAGTGCCTGGGTGGAATCCGCAATTTCAAGGCAAGAAATGCCACGGCCTCTGGAGACGACCTGGACGACACGGGCATGGCCTAGCGAGTGGCTGGTAAGATTATTTTCCCACCAGGCATCATGACCCTCCGACCTGGAGGGGCACAGGCAGAGGTTTCTTCTCTGCAGAAGTTAAGGGAGGGGGCGGGGCCCAGGCGCCCACCTGCTTATCTTCCTCCTCCCTCCCAGAGGGGGCACAGGCAGCGGCCTCAGATGCCCTATGACTCCAAGGAAAGGAGTTTAACACTAAGAATACCGGTTTTTAAATTTCGTTGGCAATGGAACCGTTTTCAAACGGAATCTTAAGCAGAATCCTAATATATAAACCAGAGGAGGATTATTTTATTAGCATAAACTGAGTTAATAAACTCCAGTTTATACCATTTATTTATTAGAAAGACATTCATGGATAACCAATAAAGCCCTGTGGCCTGAATAAAAAATCGAAGCCAGGTGTTAGGGGTGCCAACTGCAGTCTCAGTTCAGCCTCAACGACTCATCTGTTTTGCCAAAGTTCTATGGTATCCCCCGAATCCAGTTTCACGTAGAAGAGGATGTCTGATGGCAACACCGTTCAGCCCCACGCTTTCCCATCCCCTCGACTCGTAGGTTCAGGGGAGAAACGTGACTGCGCGTTCTGCCCAGTGAGCGAAGGCGGCAACACCGCGCCTCGGGTGCCATCCTCGACTTGCCGCGGTCGAACGCGGAACACGTTCAAGTGCGCGTTTACGTTCCGAGTTTTAAAAGCAGTCACAAGCGTATTTACAAATGCACGTAGAACCTGCACGTGCAGAGCCCCCGACAGCCACGTCTTTGGAATCCGAGGGGTTCCTGAAACACGGATGGCCACTGGTCCGGGTCATCGCGGAGCTCTCGTTGACACTCCACGGCTCTGCGAGATGCGGGTCTCCGGCATTCTGGGAAACTACCCGCCCACTCTATAACGTTCGCGTATCTTGATTTTTATATACTGTGTTTGCTCCACAGAGGATAAACACATAAAGTGTTTGGTCATAAATGAATGACAATAGGCTGGTATTTCCCTCGTGCTGCCTTGTCTGTTGGAAAAACAGACTCAGTAATTACCTGCCATCTCCTAAAAAGATAAACTTTCATTGAAGTAAATAAATAGCCTGGGGAATCTCAAAATAGAACTATCAAAGCAAAGCGTTTCCGCGGTTGATTTTTCTTTCTTCCTGGGAGCTGATGGAGATGTATACGGGACAAAACAGGAGGCGGGAGGAGGCTGGATGCCTTCCTCATCGGTGTCTTCAGTGATTCCCCGCTAACCGCGCTGATAAAACTGGGTCTGTCCATGGACACGCAGGGCCAGTGAAGTTAAGACGCCACCTCGGTTTTTATTTTCGTTGTGGTCTCATTTTAAGGAGAGCCGCCTGGAGTGTTCCACAGTCCAACTGCCAATCAGAGACGCAGGAAGATAATGGCCGTTTAGCTTATTCTGAAGCCCAAGCAAATATGGAATGTGGGGGTGCGGCGTCTTCCTCCAACACACAGCACGTGCTCTGGGGGTGGGCCAGCCTGCATTTTACAGTGATTGATGATTTCTACCATGAAAAACTGTGATGGCCTCAACTCCATTTATAAAGCGGGTGCTTTATTTGGATTTGTAATTAGGCAATTAAATAGTTCGAAAACCCAGAACTCTGATGGTAGAGAAACCCTACACTTTATTGGTCTGGTATACATCTGAATGAATTCTCTTTATTGACGAGTTGGTGCTGAGAAGTTGCGGAACCTGGGTGTGTGCTTCTGAGCCTTGTCGTCTATTGGAAAAGAAAACTTACTTACTGTCACATTTCATCCCTTGATGGATAAGTCCGTACAGCAGTGACCCACAGTGATCACAGAAGGTGGGGCTTCCGTAAGTGTGGATTTTAAACTTGTGCTTGCTCCTGGGGTCCTAGGGGAGAAGAAGCACATTACTCATTCCACTCATAGAAAGGCCACATTCCTGAACCGAGTCAAGCTCAGGCCCCGCCACGCCCCACTCCCATGTCCAAGGTCAATGGACCCAGACTGTGCACCGTGCTCTGGGGTCATGCAATGGGTGGTGGCGACTTTGCCACATCACATTTTATCAGGCTGCCCTGATTACGGGCCACGTAACGCGTAACCACGTTTCTTCTTCTCACAGTGTGTCTTTTGCACAGAGCGGCATTTCCGCCAAAGCGATCACTTCTGAACCCAAAGTCACCAAAGAGCTCGGGGGGCAAGGACCGTGTTTTAGACACCGTGGCATCTCTGCATCCCCGTGCCCAGCACAGGCTGCAGTGTGGAGTAGGCACAAAATCAGAGTGTGTTTGTGAAGCTGAACCGAGTCTGGGCGGCCTCCTTCTGGGCAAGGTTTCCAGAAACACATTGTAAGACCAGGTATGCATCCAAGCTGATAGAGAATTCTGTACTGGTTCCAAAGTATTATATGCATTTACATGGGGAAACTCCAGCACAATCGGAGCAAAACTGGAAATGCACTAAAAGCATTCTTGCCATAGTCCCCCTGCTACAATTCCTTACCTTCTCTAGCATGTGACTGAAGGTACAACTAGGCAGCTTATTTTCAAGTTTTTGTTCCTCAATGCACAGATAGATTATAGATAAGGAAGTGAATACTAAATACAGCAAACCGCAGTAATTAAAAAGCATGGCCTCTGGAGTCAGACTGCCTGGGTTCAAAATTCAGTGCTGTTATTTCCCAGTAGCGTGACCTTGGACGAATGAACAAATAACTTAACCGCTGCCTCATCTGTACACTAGGAAATGAACAGCACCTACCTTATGTGGCTATTATGAGGGCAAAACAAGTCAATCTTAGTAAAATGCCGAGATGGGTAAATCCGTGGAAAGCAGTAAACACCTCTGCTTCCTGGGCCTCTGTTTATCAATATGTAAAAGTAGAGGGTTGAGCTAAAAGGTCTTTATGTTCTATTTGAACTAAAAATGATTTCATATGCCACCTGTCCATATCAAGATCCTCGCTCATTACATTCCTTCTCCTGAATCATTCTTTGTGGCCTGAACAGCTGTAAAGACAGAGCTGCCATTAACTGGATTCAGGAAGATGACAGACATTTGGGCTCGAGCTAATAACCTTTAGTCTCCGGTTCCTCAAATGCAAAGATACACAGAGAAAGATATTCTTGGCTTCTGACTTTCTAAGAGCCGAGGTGTTGGAGATTGGAGGATATTCCAAAGGTGATTTTGACTTTATAAGATAACTGACCTTTTAGGTGACCTTGGAACCTAAAATCTAAGCCACATACATGCCAATGAACTATTATGATTACCTTTCAAAGACATAAATTCTAAAATTCTGGAATATTTCAATCGTGCCGAATAACATAAAGAAGCGTAAATCAAACACTCATAGAAGCACCACCCAGACTTGACAAATGTTAGCAATTCTCTCGCTTTTTCACTGTACAGTTATTATCCTCATTCTACAAAGATGTGAATGACCTTCTGAGTCACGTGGCCATTGAATATCAGAGATGGAATCTGACCAACATCTGTGTCTTATATACCGATTCCCATTCAAGAGCTTTCAGAAACCCACTTAGAATGAGGCTCTGGTCTTAACATCTTTTCAAAAACTGTTTTATATTTGCAACACAATCTCTCTCTCTCTCTCTCTCTCTCTCTCTCTCTCTAAATGAGAAGACCCGATTTGTAAATAAAGTTTTATTGGAACACAGCCTTGCTTATTCATTTCCATATTTTCTGCGGCTCCAATGGCAGAGTTGAGTAGTTGTGACAGAGCCCACAAAGCCTAAACTATTTACTCTCTAGTCCTTTCAGAACAAGTTTGCCAATCTCTGCTTTATGGCCATAGTTTTCAAAGTATGGTCCCTATCACCTGAAACTTACTGGAAATGAATTTTTTTTTACCCCCGCCCAGACCAACTGAATCAAGAACTCAAGGTGTTTCGACGCGTCCTGCAGGTGATCCTAGAGTGGGCGAGCACACTGAAGAACGAGATCCACAGCTTTAGAAGGTTACTCAACAAATATTTAGTAAGTGCCCGATAGGTGCTAGGTGCATATGTGTGTGGATGCCTAACATGGTTCGTGAGGCAGTCTCTAGTTTAGTAAGTGTCTCCCGGGGTGTGAAACATTAACACCTTTCTTGGGAGACTACTTTCCTTAGTCAGGTGTAGCTGTGACTATGGTCTGAAGCCTGGGCTGAGCCGTCCACCATGAAAGCAGCCCACCACGCGGACAGCAGAGGCGGTGTCCTACCACGTGGAGGGCAAAGAGGATGCTGGGAGAAAGGGCACAGACAGTTGTCCCTACAGAAGCAAGGA